TCTCTCATTTGTGTCAGTTTGAATTAGGAAGTTTCGGTTCTCCGTTTTGGGGGTATCATTTTTCACATTATTTTTAGTGATGTTGTGAAGTTTGGATAATAGATCTGCACTTGAATTGAAGTTTTTTGAATTTGACATTATATATAGAACTAAACCCTGCATATCTCACATCATTGACCAGTGTCAGTAGATTTATGAACTTTCACAAATGCTTCCTTAAAAGGATAAAGGCTGACAAACCTTTTTTTTGTCTCACATGGCTTTCAGTAATATTTTTTATCCTCATAAACATCTCAAGATATGTACTCGATCTTTTCAGTTTTTTCAGAATCAGAAATATTTCATTAATCCCCATGGAGAATATGCTCTTACACACAATCAAGCAGAAGAAATATAGTAATATATATAAATATGAATGAAATGAAGAACGTAAATAAGATACCAAGAAATAAGTACAATAAATAGTTTTAAAGAAATAAAGCTGTGTACTAAGCGCATGTTAATGAAGAATAAGATATGTATAAAGTGTAGATTATTCAAGAAATGAGCTATGTACTGTACAAAGTGCAGAGAGTTAAAGACAATAAGCAACATACACAAAGCAAAGTATAAACAGTGGGATACTCGAAGAGTTTTGCACAGTGTGTTTCAGTATTGCATGTTGCATTAAAGACAGATTATTGAACAGTTAAGATTCAGAATTTTGTACCATTTTGATGAATAATTGAGGCGTTTACAGTTTAAAATTTTCACTATTATAGTTTGATTATTTTTTTTCCAAATGGCTCTTAACTTAGTCTTGTATTAAAATCAAATGGTTCTAAACATGTCTCAAACCTGTGCTATGGGGACCCCATCCTCAGTGTGTCTACAATTACTGATGAAGACATGCTGTTCAACCCCCTTGGTATCCATGGAGACAAGTGATGTTACATGTCTTACGTCTCTTTTTGCATTTATTTCTGTCATTGCCTTGAGCCCTGATACAGACTTCATATAGTGGCCGTGAACACATCAGAATTTAAAACGAAGGTGATAACTCTTCAGCAAAGACTAACGTCACCCTCAGCACGAGGATGAACAATCCTCTGGGGAACTTGTAATAGATATCCATATCATGAATGATGAAGAAGAATGGAAGTTGCTGACAGCAGAGCAATAACCAGCTGTGGCAACCTAATCCAGGCTCTGCAGCTGCAGACACCATAATCTCGTTATCGCGCATCCTGGAAGTTTGGGTCAATATGACCCCCAGCATGAGAAGATCAATCTTAACAAGTCACATCAACTCCAATAGATTCTCCAGCCATTTGCAGCTCCGTTTATCTGCCACTCTCAGTGTTGTATTTTTCTCACTGGTTTATAACCTGAGTGGATGATTCATTTCTGAACTCTTCCAGGTAACATACATAAAATAATAACCTGTTTTATATGGGCTACCGATATCGTTGTTGGGGAGAAAAAATCTGATACCAAATTATCGGCCACTATCTTTCTCAAATCTATGTTCAATCTGTAGCGATAATTATAGAAATATGCATTTATTGCTTTGATCCCTCAAATGCAGTTATGTGGAAAAGACATAATGATGGTCATTCAAACAGAAAGTAACTGCGCATGTACGTGCATCACTGCTTGACACTCTGGACTGTGTTAATTCTTGTTGTAATTGTAAATATCGGCCAATATTATTGTCTGGCTGATCAATCGTTCGGGCTCTACTGTTTCATATCATACTGTGATTCATATTTTGAAACTGAGATTCAACAAACACCATCAAGTTAAGGCCATTTATACAAACAAAGGTTTTTCAGCTGCTCCATGTCCGGGTTGTTTCTTCTATTTAAGTCTACTTTTTTGTCTTCCAATTAAAATATTTCTGAGACAAATTCTCTTTTATGCAGAGAAAAAGAACATAGCACAATGCGCACAATTATGTTTATATGTTGGATTGTTTTCAATTTGTAATGTAGCAACTTCAATGGTGGGTCATTGAAATATAATCTATATATCTAATCACTCCGTTTCTATTACTGTAAAATAATCACATGGTTCCCATATGTTGACATATTCTGTTTTGTTTTTACTCTTTGTATGTCCTTTTAATCCTAAATAGCCAACAGAGAGTAAAAATGCAAACCAAATAACAGCAGAGGTCTCATCAGGTTACGGGGTCATATTATGATAATGGTAAAACAGGCCACAAACAGGTAACAAAGGGAAACTCAGCTTCAGTGATGTTCTTGATAATTTGTTATCAGAGTTTCACGTGACAAACTGCATGTAAGCATGTTATCCTCAAATGAGCGTGTACAGCACATCTATTGTGCGGAATGAGCAATTATAGCGCTGCTTAGTTCATACAAATAAAAATTAACACGCCTCTGACTGATAAGACGACATCACAATGGCTTCAGCAGACAATTTCCAGAAATCAAATTAACCTCCTGCAGTAATAATCAGAGTGTGTGAGCCCGCTGTAAAGAATCCTGTTAACATAAATACAGCTGAAGGCCCCGAGGCCGGCTGGAAGTCACAATGAGGAACATGAGCCTCGGATTGTGACCGCTGCGTGTGTTGTTACTGCTTCAACAGCAAACCGCACATAAGCAAAAAAAAAAGCTGCTCCACAACAACACCAATACGTTTTTTTTATCGTCTTGTATTTCCAAAGAGAGCTGCTGATTAAACAGCTGAGACCTGGGAAAGAACAAGTGAGAATAGAATCCATTATGGCAGTGAAGCTAAGTGAGAAGATGAGTCCGGTTGGGTGCTTTGCTCCGTCAGCACTTCTCTGATTATTGGTGTTTGGAGGCGTGGAAGTTATCTTCTCCACACCATCAGGATTCAAAGCTGTAAAGTGTTTGAACCCACAGAGCAGTGTGTGTTTTACATCTACAGCCAGGCGACTGTGGGAGCTCCTGACTTCATTTAGTTTTGGTCATTTTAGAGTGTGGCTTCTCCTGATTGGCTTCCTTGACCTTACAAAGAAAATAAACCATAATGCTGAAGTACATGTAGAAATACTTTTCCCTATTTAATGTGATCTTTGTTTAAGTATGAACTACAGCACATTCGATTTCAAAGGTACAAGTCGGAACAGTGAAAGAGAAAAGATGAATGAACTTTGAGTGTGTGCGTTGTCAAGATGCTTCTTCATTGTATTACACAGCAAAGTATGTCTGGTTAAATCTCAAACATTTGATGTTTTTTTTTGCACACATGCACTCCTGAAAATGTCTAGAAACTTAAGGGCATGCTGCCCCTGAAATCTTCCTGACTTGCTTGTTCAAACAGCAGGAGACTGTCAGTGTTTGGCGGGTGGCGAGGTCTCAGCAGAACGCAGGACATTACTTAAATAGATAATGAAGAAAAGAAAAGGCATCACAGTAAAAGAGTCAGACGCTCCAGTGGCAGTTATTGCCTTTATATCGAGACAATATATAACTGGACACAATCATAGTATAATTGAGTGATAAATAATGGCAAGCACAAAGATCATGCTGGTTGCCTCACAGTCGTGTGACATAAACATCATAGACCCCGCCTGCTCGCTCAGTGTCATTTCACCTGTACTTTTCCTGCTGTGTTCACACAGCACAACTTCACAGGGACATTTTACTACGGGGCGTGCAGGAAATAATTCACATAAAGTCAGTGTTAAAAAATATGTCTGTTTACGTTAACACATGCAGCTCACCCCAAGAAATTTCAGGACATTTTCAGGTGTTTTGTGCAGGTGTAAAAACACCATATGGGACTTTGGCAGATTAGTCTGGTGAAAATGTATTTCTGTCTTATTGACTAGACATTGTGGAAAAATGTGTAACCTGACATATCTTCTTCCTCTGTGCCACGCAACTTGATTGTTGTACAAAGAGCACAACAGACAACCCTTTCTATGCATTATAATGAAAGCTCTGACACAATCGATATTACTTTACACGGGTAACTCAACTTTAAGCCGTAACAGATCTGAGTTTTATGAAGCATTTGAAGATACTCCAAGAACTGACATCACATTGCTCAAAGGAGGCGCTGTAATTCTATTGCAAGTACAATTAGGGTATACAACTCAACTTTGCAGTATGCTCAATAAAAGAGCATTTCTAAACCACTGAAAAATGTACAAAGTTAAAATTACTTACTGATCAAATCCTTATTAATTATGGTTTGTTTTATACATAGCCTCAGAGATTAGATTGAAGGGATCAGAGGGATGTGAAGAAGAGAAAACATAACAAGCAGAAATACCAGTCTACAACTTCTTAATTCTAACATTTAAAAAAATTGTAGCCACATTTTTGCACTGCATGACGGGGCCAATAAGGGGACATGGGCAAGATTTTGTAGTGCACACCTGATAGTTTTTAAACTATCAAGAGTGTGCACATAAAAACACCAGAATTTATTTTGTGCGCTCACAATACCTTGCTCACCGGATAGTTTCTAGTGCTCCAAATATGTTCTAGTGCTGGGGCGCCGGTGGCCTGGTGGTCGGTGTGCTCATTGCATGTGGAGGCTGTGTTCCCAGGGCCGATCTGCCATGTGGCTCCTTTCCCGCGTGTCGTTCCCCACTCTCTCTCTCCCTGATTTCTGACTATATCCAATGTCGACCTCTGATTAAAGACATAAAAAGCCTAAATAAACATTTAAAAAAAAGTAAGAAACTTTCTAGTGCACACCTGAAGCTTGTTTTCTTTTATTTTATTCCACCAATGTCCCTTCAGGGACTCTGTACTTCATAGCTGTTAACACACAAAATGTTAGTTTTGACTAATTTCTACATCGACAACCAGCGACTTAAACTGAAAATGCACAAACAGTGTATTACTACGCCACTGAAAGTAGTCCACTACAAATGCACTTTATGAGATGGACTATTGTTTTTTGTTTTTTTATTCATGGGATTTATTGACAGTTAAAAAAGACAGGTGATAGGCACCTAACTACATCACCACAATAATATTATTATCCCTGTTCTTTGTCTGTGTGTTTAGGCCAATGATGCCTCTGGAAACACGTGGAACTGGCTGTACTTCATCCCCCTCATCATCATCGGGTCCTTCTTTATGCTCAACCTGGTCCTGGGTGTGCTGTCAGGGTGAGTACACACTGTGAGGAAAACCTGAGCTGAGATGTTCCTCACATTTTACAACCCTTCACTGGACCCGCCTGGTCCAGAAGCTGCCTTTGGTTTGATAATCTCTCATTTATTTGTCTTTACTGTATGTTATAGTGGAGCTGTAGAGAATCACATCAGCTATGGCAGAGGATATGTTGGTATGATCTTGTTGTTGCAGGCAGTTTGAAGCGGTCTTATGATGTGGATACATATTCAATTTGTGTAACAAGTTTAAATAAGTCGCAGAGGCTTTAGGTAGTTTCTTGACTAAAATCAACACTGATCTGGTATTTTAGCTTCTAAGAACAGGCTGTTGCTGTGTCTGTAGCTTTAAATGCAACTTGCAAATGAGATGTTTGACAATGCCCCTCTCTGGAAGGGCTTGGGTGGCTCGGGCTTTCTCGCACCGTGCCCTATTGTTTACACTGAGAAGGCAGATTTAGAGGGCAGAACAAACACCTAGCTGTGGGAGTGTCACCCACCTGGGGGAGGGGCTATTGCCACTTTGTGATGTCATAAAAAGCACACATTTTCTTAAAAAGTGGAGCAGGCTAAAGACGGAGAGAATGGACATTTTTCATCATTGGGGGGTTGGAAACAGACTAGAGACACATATTAGTATTAGAAAAACATGGTAAAGTGTATTTTGCATAATATGTGACCTTTAAAGAAGTTAAAAGATAATGTACGTGCAATACAACAGGATGTTAATGCTATATTAATTCTCCTTCTCTGGCACTGCAGCAGTGATATCCTCAGGTCAGCATGATAAGGAAACATAAACTGACAGGCTGGGATTAAAACTGATACGCAAATAATCCTTCTTAATATGAATATGAATATGAAGGTTGAAATCAGTTCATCATAACTAAGACATTTCACATGTGGAATATAGAGCTCCATATCTCTGATTTAAACATTCCACATACAGAGATGATCTATGTCTTGAAAGTGTGAGCTTCTTTTGCATTTATTAATTCAGACAAATTCCACACCTCTAATCCAATCCACATCAATGTTATATTCCCTGGTGGGAGGTTATAGCAGGAGCCAAAGAGGAACATGATAAATGTTGCACAAGATCTGTACTTGTTACAGATCTTAAACCTTTTTATTTAAACATGTTTTCTTCTTTTCAATTGAGCATTTTTTTTTTATATTTAGAAAATACATAACCAGGCATGCTGGACAATATACTGAAAAGTAGCAGTGTGAGGGGAAACAACTCTCACATTCATGTGTAACAATTTAGCCATTTTCAGTATGTAGTTATTTTGCTAATAAGTTCTCTGAAGGCAACAGACTCAACAATAGACATGAAGCATGTCATCAACAACTTAACTGTCTATCAGTCTGTTGAGTCCTGGCTTACAGATCGTACACATCTGACAGTGATTTCAAATCAAGTCTCGTCTATTTATATCGAGTAGATCCTAATTGGTCTGCCGAGCTAATGTGAGCTTTATCTGGGTCTCCAGGAGTGGACCATCAGTAAAAGTTCTCGTCTCCAGACATAAGACTCTGAGAAAGATCCAGAACAAACCAAGACTACACTTTCAGGGATCATTTCTTTAGTTGTTAACTTGAGAAATATGTTTCTAAAGAGTTTGGTCTCGCTGTCTACGATGAAGAGTTCAGATGTTTCTTTCAGAGCAGGAAACTGGTGGGAAGACTTTGTTTCTTCTCCACTGTTGAAGATTGATCAGAGTTTCTGGAAGACTCTCTGATGGAGGAAACATGATCTGAGTGGACCATGTAAACTTGTCAAATTGAACTTAAACATTTTCAAGTTTCTTGGTGGTTTGTTGTGTAATCATTGTGGTTTTGATGTTGTTGATAAATGGTCCAAAACACTTCATGTTCTCCTTTATCCTTGTGAGCTTGAAAGTAGAAATGTCTTCACTTGATGACCTTTATAGCCACAGAGATTTCATTTTTAGGTTTGCAGTTGGATTTTTATGTTAAACCAAGCTTCATATTTTAATTAGTTAAAATGTAGTATTCACCTGAACACTGATGGGCAACTCCTGAGCTTCACAAAGTAATTTCTTCTACAATCACTGATCATTTATGTTCTTAGTTTGATCTCGGTACACTGACAGAAACAAAACGGTTATGATTTCTTAAAAATTTGAAACTCAATACAATAAGACATGTTTTAAGGGTGGGTCAGACTTAAAAGTTATTTTGATTGAAGGAGAAGTATCTCATTAAATCTCAGGAGTAGATTAGGAAGTTTCTCTTTCTTGTGCTGGTTTGTATTGCTAAAGTAGGTCAATATGCATAAGAGAAGTATGTAGAACTAGCACTAGTGACAGACAACATTGGCACAAGATTTTTTGTTTTTAACAAGATACACAGTCCACTCAGATCATGTTTCCTCCATCAGAGAATCCAGGAGAAACTCTGAACAATCTTCAACAGTGGAGAAGAAATAAAATCTTCCCACCAGTTTCCTGCTCTGAAAGAAACATCTGAACTCTTCATCGTGGACAGCGAGACCAAACTCTTTAGAAACACATTTCTCAAGTCAACAACTAAAGAAATGATTCCTGAAAGTATAGTCTTGGTTTGTTCTGGATGTTTCTCAGAGTCTTATGTCTGGAGACGAGAACTTTTACTGATGGTCGACTCCTGACACTCACTAAGACACTCCTACAATCAGTGACTAAAATAACCCTACAGTTTTACTTTATATTCTTCAATAAACGTTGTTGTGTTGATGTATACTCTTTATTGTTGGTTGTAAATTTACAGGAAAACTTTCTAGATAATGAGCTCCACAAAGACACTCCTTCTACATTGAGCAACAACTTTTCATTTTAAAACCAAATGTACATTTCTCACTAATGTTAAAAGGAGTGTCTTAATAAGTGTCAGGAGTCGACCATCAGTAAGAGTTTTCTTCTCCAGACATAAGACTCTGAGAAACATCCAGAACAAACCAAGACTATACTTTGAGGGATCATTTCTTTAGTTGTTCACTTGAGAAATATGTTTCTAAAGAGTTTGGTCTCGCTGACCACGATGAAGAGTTCAGATGTTTCTTTCAGAGCAGGAAACTGGTGGGAAGACTTTGTTTCTTTTCCACTGTTGAAGACTGTTCAGAGTTTTTGAGAGATTCTCTGATGGAGGAAACATGATCTGAGTGGACTCTATAAATCTGTGAAATTACACTTGGATGTTTCCAAGTTTCCTGTTGGTTTGTTGTGTAATCATTGTGGTTGTGATGTTGTTGATAAAAGATCTAAACCACTTATTGTTTTCCTTTATCCCTGTGAGCTTTAAAGTAGAAATGTGTTCACTTGATAACATTTGTAGCCACAGAGATTATATTTTTAGGTTTGCAGTTGGATTTTTATGTCAGACCAAGCTTCATGTTTTATTTACTTAAAATGTAGTATTCACTTGAACACTGATGTAAACTCCTGAGCTTAACAAAGTCATTTCTTCTACAATCACTGATAATTTATGTTCTTAGTTTGATCTCGGTACACTGACAGAAACAAAACGGTGATGTTTTTTTATAAATTTGAAACTCAACTCAATAAGATATACATCACAAAAACTAAATGTTTTAAGGGTGGGTCAGACTTAAAAGTTATTTTGATTGAAGGAGAAGTATCTCATCTAATCTCAGGAGTGGATTATAAAGTCTCTCTTTCTTGTGCTGGTTTGTTTTATTAGAGTAGATCAATATGCATAAGCAAAGTACATTGAACTAGCTCTAGTGACAGACAACACAGGCACAACATTTTTCATTTTTAACAAGATACACAGTCCACTCAGATCATGTTTCCTCCATCAGAGAGTCTGGGAGAAACTCTGAACAATCTTCAACAGCAGAGAAGAAATGAAGTCTTCCTGCCAGTTTCCTGCTCTGAAAGAAACATCTGAACTCTTCATCGTGGACAGCAAGACCAAACTCTTTAGAAACACATTTCTCAGATCAACAACTAAAGAAATGATCCCTGAAAGTATAGTCTTGGTTTGTTCTGGATGTTTCTCAGAATCTTATGTCTGGAGACGAGAACTTTTACTGATGGTTGACTCCTGACACTCACTTAGACACTCCTACAATCAGTGACTAAAATAACTCGACAGTTTTACTTTATAGTCTTCAATAAATGTTGTTGTGTTGATGTATACTCTTTATTGTTGGTTGTAAATTTACAGGAAAACTTTCTAGATAATGCGCTCCACAAAGACACTCCTTCTGCATTGAGCAACAACTTTTCATTTTAAAACCAAATGTACATTTCTCACTAATGTTAAAAGGAGTGTCTTAATAAGTGTCAGGAGTCGACCATCAGTAAAAGTTCTCATCTCCAGACATAAGACTCTGAGAAACATCCAGAACAAACCAAGACTATACTTTTAGGGATCATTTCTTTAGTTGTTGATTTGAGAAATGTGTTTCTAAAGTGTTTGTTCTCGCTGTCCACGATGAAGAGTTCAGATGTTTCTTTTAGAGCAGGAATCTGGTGGGAAGATTGTATTTTTTCTCCACTGTTGAAGATTGTTCAGAGTTTCTGAAAGACTCTGATGGCGGAAGCATGATCTGAGTGGACTCTGTAAACTTGTCAAACTAAACTTGAACATTTTCAAGTTTCTCGTTGGTTTGTTGTCTAATCATTATCATTTTGATGTTGTTGATAAATGGTCCAAAACACTTCACGTTTTCCTTTATCTTTGTGAGCTTTAAAGTAGAAATGTGTTCACTTGATGACCTTTGTAGCCACAGAGATTATATTTTTAGGTTTGCAGTTGGATTTTTATGTCAAACCAAGCTTCATGTTTTATTTACTTAAAATGTAGTATTCACTTGAACACTGATGTAAACTCCTGAGCTTAACAAAGTCATTTCTTCTACAATCACTGATCATTTATGTTCTTAGTTTGATCTCGGTACACTGACAGAAACAAAACGGTGATGTTTTTTTATAAATTTGAAACTCAATTCAATAAGACATACACATCACAAAAACTAAATGTTTTAAGGGTGGGTCAGACTTAAAAGTTATTTTGATTGAAGGAGAAGTATCTCATTGAATCTCAGGAGTAGATTAGGAAGTTTCTCTTTCTTGTGCTGGTTTGTATTGTTAAAGTAGGTCAATATGCATAAGAGAAGTATGTAGAGCTAGCACTAGTGACAGACAACACCTGCACAAGATTTTTTATTTTTGACAGACAGCACAGGCACAAGATTTTTTGTTTTTAACAGGATACACATTCCACTCAGATCATGTTTCCTCCATCAGAGAGTCTGGGAGAAACTCTGAACAATCTTCAACAGTGGAGAAGAAACAAAGTCTTCCCACCAGTTTCCTGCTCTGAAAGAAACATCTGAACTCTTCATCGTGGACAGCGAGACCAAACTCTTTAGAAACACATTTCTCAAATCAACAACTAAAGAAATGATCTCTGAAAGTATAGTCTTGGTTTGTTGTGGATGTTTCTCAGAGTCTTATGTCTGGAGACGAGAACTTTTACTGATGGTCGACTCCTGACACTCACTAAGACACTCCTACAATCAGTGACTAAAATAACTCGACAGTTTTACTTTATATTCTTCAATAAATGTTGTTGTGTTGATGTATACTCTTTATTGTTGGTTGTAAATTTACAGGAAAACTTTCCAGATAATGCGCTCCACAAAGACACTCCTTCTGCATTGAGCAACAACTTTTCATTTTAAAACCAAATGTACATTTCTCACTATTTGCAGGAGGAGTGTGTTAGAGAGTGTCAGGTGTTGACCATCAGTAAAAGTTCTCATCTCCAGACATAAGACTCTGAGAAACAGCCAGAACAAATTAAGGCAATACTTTTAGGGATCGTTTCTTTAGTTGTTGATTTCAGGAATGTGTTTTTAAGGAGTTCGGTCTCGCTGTCCATGATGAAGAGTTCAGATGTTTTCTTCAGAGTGGGAAACTGGTGGGAAGACTTACTTTCTTTTTGACTGTTAAAGATTGTTTGGAGCTACTCAAAGACTCCCTGAAGCAGGAAACATGATCTCAGTGGACTGTCAAATTTTTTAACATTACAGCATCTTGTGTCTGTTGGTGTGTCACTTGTGTGAGTTCAACATTCACCTTAGGCATATTAACTAAATTTAACAAAACAAACCAGCACAAGAAAGAGGGTCTTGACTTCCCAATCAATTCCTGAGCTTTGCTAAGATTCTTTTTCTTCAATCAAGTCTTAATTATATTGTTGTTTGACTTCAATATACTAAAAACATTTAGTTTTTGTAATGTATATGTCTTATTGTATAGCTTTCAAATGTACAAGAAATCAGCACTGTCTAGTTTCTTTCAGTGTACCGAGGTCAAACTAAAAACATAAGTTAAAAGGGGTTGTATAAGAAGTGACTTTCTGAAGCTCAGGAGTTGCCCATCAGTGTTCAGGTGAATACTACATTTTAACTAATTAAAACATGAAGCTTGGTTTAACATAAAAATCCAACTGCAAACCTAAAAATGAAATCTGTGTGGCTACAAAGGTCATCAAGTGAACACATTCCAACTTTAAAGTTTACAAGGATCAACAAAAACATGAAATGTTTTGTACTGTATATTAACAACGTCAAAACCATGATGATTACACAACAAACCAACAAGATGCTTGAAAATGTTCAAGTTTTATTTGACAAGTTTACAGGATCCACTCAGATCATGCTTCCTCCATCAGAGTCTGTAAGAAACTCTGAGCAATCTTCAACAGTGGAGAAGAAACAAAGTCTTCCCACCAGTTTCCTGCTCTTAAAGAAACATCTGAACTCTTCATCGTGGACAGCGAGACCAAACTCTTTAGAAACACATTTCTCAAGTCAACAACTAAAGAAATGATCCCTGAAAGTATAGTCTTGGTTTGTTCTGGATGTTTCTCAGAGTCTTATGTCTGGAGACGAGAACTCTTATTGATGGTCGACTCCTGACACTCACTTAGACACGCTTCCTCTAAGTAATTAGCATAATCTCCAACTGATTACGATTCTTACCTTGAGATCATTTCGGAGATTTCTACAATTTTTCAGATTTATCAGGTCAGTTTTTAATTAAATTACTGCAGTCACAGCGCTGTATATTTCCTGGTAAACATTTTCAGACTGCTGACTAAACTTACAGTATTCATTCTCTCAGCTCCTGAGCACTTTAAAATATTTAAAGTACCATCTCTCTTCAGTGGCCAAAGAAAATAAAGCAACAAAATAACTTCAAAGTCTTACCTTTATATCCTTCAATAAATGTTGTTTGTTGCTGTAAATCATTATTGTATTGGGTTTTTAATTTGCAGGAAAACTTTGCAATAACAGATAATGAGCTCCAAAAAGACACTTCTAATGTGAACAACAAATTTACATTTAAAAGTTAATGTGAGTTTGTCACCAATGTTAAAAGGAGTGTCTTAATAAGTGTCAGGAGTCGACCATCAGTAAGAGTTTTCTTCTCCAGACATAAGACTCTGAGAAACATCCAGAACAAACCAAGACTATACTTTCAGGGATCATTTCTTTAGTTGTTGACTTGAGAAATGTGTTTCTAAAGAGTTTGGTCTCGCTGTCCATGATGAAGAGTTCAAATGTTTCTTTCACAGCAGGAAACTGGTGGGAAGACTTTCTTTCTTCTCCACTGTTGAAGATTGTTCAGAGTTTGTCAAAGACTCTCTGATGGAGGAAACATGATCTGAGTGGATATGGACCCTAAAATTGTCACATAAAATAAGTTGACCTTGAACATTACTTTACAGTTACCTTTCAAAATTAGTGTTTGTCCTGCATTGCATCATGATTGGCTTATTTCTATCTTGTGTTTATTAGTCGGGTTAAAGCATTTATTTTAAGGTTTATTTGTCCAGCTCAAGGTGACTTGAACCAACTTTTGTTTGGCATGGGTTTCAATGTATTCACAATTCAAACCCAGTTATTAATGCTGCAATATAAAACAGCTGTTTTTTAAATTTTGTGTCCAGAATAGACAGCATCTTGTGTGTGTGGTCGGGGGTTGACTGACACCATCTTCTTCTACACTCAACAGTGTTTCTCATTGTGTTGTTTCTGTGAATGATTCGGAGAACTCTTTTTAATCAGATACGACAAATATATCTTGAGTCAGGAAAGTATCAAGAGACAAACTGGTTTGTTGAACTGCAAATAGAGACCATAAGATACACCAATTGACCTAATGCAATGGGGGTTACTTGTGGTGTGATAATTGTCAACATGTTGGTAATGTACAAACAGGATTTTTGTTTAAGCTTTTAGACACTATAAAAATTAATAATTCTATAACAATTTAAGGATCCACTCAGAACATGTTTCCTCCATCAGAGAGTCTCTGATCAATCTTCAACAGTGGAGAAGAAACAAAATCTTCCCACCAGTTTCCTGCACTGAAGGAAACATCTGAACTCTTCATCGTGGACAGCGAGACCAAACTCTTTAGAAACACATTTCTCCAGTCAACAACTAAAGAAATGATCCCTGAAAGTATAGTCTGAGTTTGTTGTGGATGTTTCTCAGAGTCTTATGTCTGGAGACGAGAACTTTTACTGATGGTCGACTCCTGACACTCACTAAGACACTCCTCCTACAAATAGTGAGAAATGAACATTTGATTTTAAATGAAAAGTTGTTGCTCAATGTAGAAGGAGTGTCTTTGTGGAGCTCATTATCTGGAAAGTTTTCCTGTAAATTTACAACCCACAATAAAGATTATACATCAACACAACAACATTTATTGAAGAATATAAAGTAAAACTGTTGAGTTATTTTAGTCACTTATTTTTAGAGGAGTGTCTAAGTGAGTGTCAGGAGTCGACCATCAGTAAAAGTTCTCGTCTCCAGACATAAGACTCTGAGAAACATCCAGAACAAACCAAGACTATACTTTCAGAGATCATTTCTTTAGTTGTTGATTTGAGAAATGTGTTTGTAAAGAGTTCGTTGTCGCTGTCCATGATGAAGAGTTCAGATGCTTCCTTCAGAGTTGGAAACTGGTGGGAAGACTTTCTTTCTTTTTGACTATTAAAGATTGTTTGGAGCTACTCAAAGACTCCCTGAAGCAGGAAACATGATCTCAGTGGACTGTCAAATTTTTTAACATTACAGCATTTTGTGTCTGTTGGTGTGTCACTTGTGTGAGTTCAACATTCACCTTACGCATATTAACTAAATTTAACAAAACAAACCAGCACAAGAAAGAGGGTCTTGACTTCCCAATCAATTCCTGAGCTTTGCTAAGATTCTTTTTCTTCAATCAAGTCTTAATTATATTGTTGTTTGACTTCAATACACTAAAAACATTTAGTTTTTGTAATGTACCGTATTTTCCGCACTATAAGGCGCACTTAAAAGCCTTTAATTTTCTCAAAAAACGACAGTGCGCCTTATAATCCGGAGCGCCTTATATATGGATCAATTGGTTAATTGGTTGATCCATACTGGTTGTACACGGCGCTCAGCGACACTGACTCGGATAATGACGAGAGGGAGCCGGGCATGTTGGATGCCGTACTCGCCCAACTGTTCAATTCGGACACTGAAGAAGAATTCGAGGGATTCGTGGACGGGGAATGAACTGAAAAAGTGAGCTTTACGTGTTATACGTAACTGAACAATGTTGAGTTACGCACTAACGTTTGAATTAGCGGTATCAGACTGTGTTTCTTTTACGTGTTTACAACTGAACAAGGCTGGGAGATATTGTGAATATGCACATTAACTTTTGAACAACGTTGAGTTATTGTGAATGCACTATTTATATATTCACAATATCTCCCAGCCTTGTTCAGTTGTAAACACGTTCTATTCTATGCGCCTTATAATCCGGTGCGCCCTATATATGAAAACAGTTCTAAAATAGGCCATTCATTGAAGGTGCGCCTTATAATCCGGTGCGCCTTATAGTGCGGAAAATACGGTATATGTCTTATTGTATAGCTTTCAAATGTACAAGAAATCAGCACTGTCTAGTTTCTTTCAGTGTACCGAGGTCAAACTAAAAACATAAGTTAAAAGGGGTTGTAGAAAAAGTGACTTTCTGAAGCTCAGGAGTTGCCCATCAGTATTCAGGTGAATACTACATTTTAACTAATTAAAACATGAAGCTTGGTTTAACATAAAAATCCAACTGCAAACCTAAAAATGAAATCTGTGTGGCTACAAAGGTCATCAAGTGAACACATTCCAACTTTGAAGTTTAGAAAGATCAACAAAAACATGAAATGTTTTGTACTTCATATCAACAACGTCAAAACCACAATGATTACACAACAAACCAACAAGATGCTTGAAAATGTTCAAGTTTTATTTGACAAGTTTACAGGGTCCACTCAGATCGTGCTTCCTCCATCAGAGTCTTTAAGAAACTCTGAGCAATCTTCAACAGTGGAGAAGAAACAAAGTCTTCCCACCAGTTTCCTGCTCTGAAAGAAACATCTGAACTCTTCATCGTGGACAGCGAGACCAAACTCTTTAGAAACACATTTCTCAAGTCAACAACTAAAGAAATGATCCCTGAAAGTATAGTCTTGGTTTGTTCTGGATGTTTCTCAGAGTCTTATGTCTGGAGACGAGAACTCTTATTGATGGTCGACTCCTGACACTCACCTAGACACGCTTCCTCTAAGTAATTAGCATAATCTCCAACTGATTACGATTCTTACCTTGAGATCATTTCGGAGATTTCTACAATTTTTCAGATTTATCAGGTCAGTTTTTAATTAAATTACTGCAGTCACAGCGCTGTATATTTCCTGGTAAACATTTTCAGACTGCTGACTAAACTTACAGTATTCATTCTCTCAGCTCCTGAGCACTTTAAAATATTTAAAGTACCATCTCTCTTCAGTGGCCAAAGAAAATAAAGCAACAAAATAACTTCAAAGTCTTACCTTTATATCCTTCAATAAATGTTGTTTGTTGCTGTAAATCATTATTGTATTGGGTTTTTAATTTGCAGGAAAACTTTGCAATAACAGATAATGAGCTCCAAAAAGACACTTCTAATGTGAACAACAAATTTACATTTAAAAGTTAATGTGAGTTTGTCACCAATGTTAAAAGGAGTGTCTTAATAAGTGTCAGGAGTCGACCATCAGTAAGAGTTTTCTTCTCCAGACATAAGACTCTGAGAAACATCCAGAACAAACCAAGACTATACTTTCAGGGATCATTTCTTTAGTTGTTGACTTGAGAAATGTGTTTCTAAAGAGTTTGGTCTCGCTGTCCACAATGAAGAGTTCAAATGTTTCTTTCAGAGCAGGAAACTGGTGGGAAGACTTTCTTTCTTCTCCACTGTTGAAGATTGTTCAGAGTTTGTCAAAGACTCTCTGATGGAGGAAACATGATCTGAGTGGATATGGACCCTAAAATTGTCACATAAAATAAATTGACCTTGAACATTACTTTACAGTTACCTTTCAAAATTAGTGTTTGTCCTGCATTGCATCATGATTGGCTTATTTCTATCTTGTGTTTATTAGTCGGGTTAAAGCATTTATTTTAAGGTTTATTTGTCCAGCTCAAGGTGACTTGAACCAACTTTTGTTTGGCATGGGTTTCAATGTATTCACAATTCAAACCCAGTTATTAATGCTGCAATATAAAACAGCTGTTTTTTAAATTTTGTGTCCAGAATAGACAGCATCTTGTGTGTGTGGTCGGGGGTTGACTGACACCATCTTCTTCTACACTCAACAGTGTTTCTCATTGTGTTGTTTCTGTGAATGATTCGGAGAACTCTTTTTAATCAGATACGACAAATATATCTTGAGTCAGGAAAGTATCAAGAGACAAACTGGTTTGTTGAACTGCAAATAGAGACCATAAGATACACCAATTGACCTAATGCAATGGGGGTTACTTGTGGTGTGATAATTGTCAACATGTTGGTAATGTACAAACAGGATTTTTGTTTAAGCTTTTAGACACTATAAAAATTAATAATTCTATAACAATTTAAGGATCCACTCAGAACATGTTTCCTCCATCAGAGAGTCTCTGATCAATCTTCAACAGTGGAGAAGAAACAAAATCTTCCCACCAGTTTCCTGCACTGAAGGAAACATCTGAACTCTTCATCGTGGACAGCGAGACCAAACTCTTTAAAAACACATTTCTCCAGTCAACAACTAAAGAAATGATCCCTGAAAGTATAGTCTGAGTTTGTTGTGGATGTTTCTCAGAGTCTTATGTCTGGAGACGAGAACTTTTACTGATGGTCAACACCTGACACTCTCTAACACACTCCTCCTACAAATAGTGAGAAATGTACATTTGATTTTAAATGAAAAGTTGTTGCTCAATGCAGAAGGAGTGTCTTTGTGGAGCTCATTATCTGGAAAGTTTTCCTGTAAATTTACAACCCACAATAAAGAGTATACATCAACACAACAACATTTATTGAAGAATATAAAGTAAAACTGTTGAGTTATTTTAGTCACTGATTGTAGGAGTGTCTAAGTCAAGAAATTTATTGTAAGGTTTGTTTGTCCAGCTCAAGTACCATGAACCAACTTTTATTTGACATAGGTTTAAATTGATTCACAATTCAAACCCAGTCATTAACGCTGGAATATAAAACAGCTGTTTTTTTAATTTTGTGTCCAGAATAGACACCATCTTGTGTGTGTGGTCGGGGGTTGACTGACACCTTCTTTTTCTACACTCAACAGTGTTTCTCATTGTGTTGTTTCTGTGAATGATTCAAGACTGTATGGCTGCATCCTGGCGCTCTCTCGTCTGCGTGCTCTCCTCTGTGAGCTCTCGCCTGGATGCATGAAGCCGAGCCCCCTGAGCTTCTAATTCTCAACATAAAGCTCCGGAAATAAAAATATATGTAGTGTACGTGTGATATATTACAAACATACTAGGTGCTTATATAGGCTATGATGGAGGATTAGGGCCATGTTAAAAAAATATAATTTTTTTAAAATTTCAAGATCAAAATTGTAAATTTACGACTTCAATCTCAAAATTAAAAAAGAAAAATGTGACATGTCCCTACACTCAAAGAAATCATTTGTTGGGTGAACGTAATAAAATGATGGAAAGAATTTACACCTAATTAAAATGCTTTCATTTAGCAACATATTTACTAAGGAAGGATCCGACTCAATTGTCTTGGGTCACATTAACTTGTATAATATGATTATGGATAACTTATTTTGATATGGTAGGTACAGCTACATTTTTTAAGTGGTACAATAACACTAATTAATCATGCTGACCAAACAACACTTAAGTTCAATCATCAGAAATTATTTAAACTGTGAGACAAAACCTTTTTATCATGTGAAAATAAACTCTAAAATAGTAATTATTCAGAAAAACACACTTTTCTCAAGAATGTTCACATTTAGCAGTCTAAACGTGTCAGCTTAGTTTATCACCAGTTGGTGTCAAGTTTAGAAAAAGACAACACAACAGACTGGATTTGTTGGAATAGAACTGTATTCCCAATAACAATGACTTTCACAGCATCTTGAAAACATGCTTACAGGTGTGAAAATACAGCAACCGGATTCAACCTTTGAAATGCTGACAGATTGTGCATTATGCTATCTGTTTAAAAAAATAAGCAGACAAGCAAGAAAATCACAAAACTGGGGACCACTGTCTGAACCTGCCCCCTGTTAACCTCTCACATTCAGCCTAAACATCCAAAATGTTTCCATTATATAAAATTTATTAAGAAGAAAATCAGGCAGAAGCTTCGGTTGAAAATGGATCTTGACTTGGTAGCCATTAAAATAAATGCTTTTTTGCTAAGACTTTAAGTACAAAACCATTTAACAGTGCACCATTAAGTGTCAATCATCTAATATGGAAACCTACGGTTGCCCTGAAGTGCAAATCACAAAGGCAAATCAGAAAACACAACAACAAATGTTGTTGTGTTTTGTGATTTGTTGTTGTGCAGTACTAAGCAGAACTAAATCTATATGAAACAGTTTCTTTTGAAAATACTCTGTTCATTTTTAGTTTCTCTGAGGAACACTTCAAGCCAAAATCCTTTCTCTCAAACAGCAACAGTTGACCTTTTGGTCACTCTACAGTGGATCACGTACGTGAAAGCAGGGTTTTCAGTGCTTGAGCTTTTCTTGAGAGTCGGTTTCCATCAAGCTCCATGATGATCTTCTGCAGAACTTCGAAGGTGTATCTTAGCTCTGAAGGGTAGCTCAGGTTGAGTGCGTAGACCAGAGCGAACAGCATCGCAACAGAAAATGGGACATTCCCCATTTCATCCAGAACTTGGACACCCTCCAAGATGATACCCACATCGTCTGGGTTATCCTCTTGCGCTGCACCCTCTTTTCGAATTGCATAGATTCCAAGATCATCTCCTTCATTTCAGCCTGGCGTTAGAACATCTGCGTCCTGTAGGGGGGAAAAAATGTAAAAATAAATAAAGATGACAATTTTCATTCATGTTATACTAGTGCGTTTTAATAAATGTAAACAAGACAACTGTAAACAGCTATTATTCATTGACTTTACATAGTCAAAGACTATAACTGCATTGTCTTTTTTTAGTGAATGACAAATGTCAGAGTAAGGCCTGGAGGACAAAAACTAAATTCCATACCATGTAATCTTTCACTAGCTTCTCGGGCTCTTCGTTGAGGTACACGCACACGGCTTTGAGGATACACTCTTTTCTGACATCAATGATGTTGGTCTGAGGAGTCTCAGTGAAAGTATGCTAGTGGCAGATATAAAAAATAAGGAACCCCGTTTTAAATAATGAGAGTAGATGTAACAAACATAATACAACATTGTACAAACAATTTTTTTTTAATTCAAAGTATGTAAGCATTGGTAAGTTACCCCAGTGTCCCATAAAGATTTTCAAGTCTAAATGCCTATTTTTCAAATTAAAAATCTGTGCAAATCTTTAGTTTTCATTAAATAATGTGTCATTTATCAGAGAAAAATGTTGATCTAATCAAATTTCTTCTCTTTAAATGGCAAGTTTTCTAAAAACAAAATTGAAGGTATTAAAGCTGTACAGATTGGACAGTCTATAATTTATAATACCATACCTGGAATAAGGGAACCATTATGCTCCTGATCTTTCTTCCTTGAGTGCCACCTTTCTTGCCAAACACTCTGATAAAGTCTGAAGAGTTAGTATCCAGCCCAGAGAAGAACCTCGACACCAGACTGACTGTTGTAATCCTCTTGAATTCTGCAGTTACCTTAACACAGAAGCAAGTTTATAAATCATGACACTGAAGCATCTATTTAGTTAAACAATTGTCATCTTTCACCAAATCAAATGGGGGGAAATAGAAACAGTGACACATACAAACATATTTTTCCATCAAATCTTACACTTACAGCTAAAATTACTAAGTGTAGAGGATATATAAACCCTATGGGAGCAGACTGTTGCCATGGCAACAATCAGATTGAAAATGCACTGAAACACTCCATAATGGACTGTAGAGACTGTTGACAGGAGGACATTTGATCATGATTTATGACATTATATTATATTTAAGTGCTGTAAAACAATCTCAAAAATAAACTCTGTTAATTACAGGCTGTGTGATGAATTTATCTTGTTTCAATAATGTGGAAAACATTATTTAGACTTACTGCATTACACTAATTGTAGAATTCTAACTTCATTTTCAATTTACCCCAGTAATTTAAAGTTAACTCTCTCATATATCAGGTCTATACCTTGTTCTTTTATTTCACAGACTAAATAGCTTTATGTTATTTATCTTGTTTACATGATGGGATGTCATTTCTGTCTCCACATGGTTGGTCACACACACACTCACACACACACACACTCTCACACACACACACACACACACACACACACACACACACACACACACACACACACACACACACACACACACACACACACACACACACACACACACACACACACACACACACACACACACACACACACACACACACACACACACACACACACACGGAGCCTCTCCGGATAGAGAAAGAAAATAACCACAAGAAACGCAGAAAAAATGCTCCCAGGGCCATCTCTGTGAAGATGGCAACACTTGCTCTCCTGTGAGTTCCCCCCTCCCCTCCCCAACACTGAGGCAGGTTTATCAGGAAAAAAATATTAATTTATTAATTTATTTCCCGCTTTGTGAATTTTTGTAAAAAACTATTGCCATAAATGACTATCTTACTGCACACTCATGCACAAACAGCACTAACAGAGGTTGGAAGACAAAATGATAAACCCCGCTGGCGCCCGTGATCCTGCACTTCAGCTGAAAATGAACACTTTTGCTTTAGCCACGAGTTATAGTTTGCAGGCTAGTGAACAGCAAATTGTCATTTAATCACTAATTTACCTACGTACCAACAAGCTTGCTCATCTACTGTCACACGTGATGTTTAACAGTTAACAGCACTTTAGTTTCTTCAGTTAAAAAGCAACTTCATACTTAAACTAGCTAGCAGGCATAGCTAGCTGTGCAAATGGTGACAGTCGGAAATATATAAATACACTGAAATAAATAAATAACAAAATAAATAACACACAATAGAAAGGGAAAAATAACTTACTGATTAAGAAATTTCTCCACCGAGATGGTTTAAATGTTGATGGATGGAAATAGATTGAAACTGTAGTCAATCTCCCGCTCCCAACTCCCGGTAATGGCTCTTCTTTGCCAGAAGCATGCTGCATTGGCTGATGAATGGGGTCTGTCGCACCTTACTGCCACCTTCTGCTCTGGAGAGGTATTGCAGATGGGATTCCTACCTAAACCCATTAGGTTGTGTTGACATAAAGCATACTTGTAGTTTTAAAATTTTTGCATGACATGCTAAAACTACATGATTTAAAAACGTTTAACCACAAACATGAATTAATATATTAGAAGCTACATCTTATACTTATGTTGATTAAACAGACACCCATGTTGCTTTTTTTGAGTGTAGTCCTCCGTCGTACTTATACATTCAAGACTAAATTAAAAATAAGCAATTTCGTCATTCTATATGTATGCTTTTTGAGTTTTAAACACACAGCTCAATCAGCAGCGTCGTTCAGCTGTTGAAAAAAACGGCACTCTCAAACTCTCCCCTCTGCGTGACTCATTTGAACGTCTTTTCAGTCATACATTCATTTGGGCTTCTTGTAAACCTAGGGCGCGTGACTCCATCTTCTTCACCATCTACACTAGTATCCTCTTTTGGCGCGGTGGTAATGTTTGAATTAATCATAGAGTATAAATATTAATTAATGCGCAAGTTCGTAAACTTCTTCTTGACCCAGCACACTTGCCGTTGTAAATTTCTGGAGGAGCAGGGCCGCCAGAGTGTATGAGACGAGAGCGCCAGGATGCAGCCATACCCGACTTGAATGATTCGGAAGACTCTATTTAATCAGATATGACAAACGTATTATGAGTCAAGAAAGTACAGAGAGACAAATTGGTTTGTTGAACTGCAAATGAAGACCCTGAGATACACCAGTTGACCTAATGCCATGAGAGTCATTTGTGGTATGATAATTGTCAACATGTTGCTAATGTACTTAGCATTCTTGATTAAGCTTTGAGAGATTATGGCAGTTAATATATCTATAACAATTTCTGGATCTACTCAGATCTTGTTTCCGCCATCAGAAAATCTCTGAGAAATTGGATGTTTCTCAGAGTCTTATGTCTGGAGACGAGAACTCTTACTGATGGTCGACTCCTGAGCTTCTCCAAGACACCCTTCCTACAATCAGTGACAAACTCATATTAACTTCTAAAAGTCCATTTGTAATTCACAGTAGAAGTGTCTTTGTGGAGCTCATTATCTGTCTTTCCCTGTAAAATAAAAACCCAATAAAATATTGATGTCATGCTTAGATGAACAGCATGTACTGCTGTAATTAAAGGTAAGATTAAAATGTTATTTCAGTCACTATTTGAAGGAGGAGTGTCTAAGTGAGTGTCAGGAGACGACCATCAGTAAAAGTTCTCGTCTCCAGAGATAAGACTCTGAGAAACATCCAGAACAAACCAAGACTATACTTTCAGGGATCATTTCTTTAGTTGTTGACTTGAGAAATGTGTTTCTAAAGAGTTTGGTCTCGCTGTCCACGATGAAGAGTTCGGATGTTTCTTTCAGAGCAGGAAACTGGTGGGAAGTCTTTGTTTCTTCTCCACTGTTGAAGATTGTTCAGAGTTTCTGGAAGACTCTCTGATGGCAGAAACATGATCTGAGTGGACTGTGTATCTTGTTTAAAATAAACAATGTTGTGTCTGTCTTATCTGCCACTAGTGCTAGTTCGACATACTTCTCTTATGCATGTTGACCTACTCTAACAAAACAAACCAGCACAAGAAAGAGAGACTTCTCAGTAAATGTCTGAAATTCACTGAGATCCTCCTCCTTCATTCAAAATAGCTTTTAAGTTTCACCCACCCTTAAAAAAAGGTAGTTTTGTGATATATATGTCTTATTGTATTGGGGATCAAACTCACAAGAAATTATCTGAGTTTTGTTTCTGTCAATGTACCAAGGTCAAACCAGGAACTGAAGTCGTCAGTGGTTGTAGAAGAAGTGACTTTGTGAAGCTCAGGATCTCAGTGAATTTCAGGAGTTTATTGAGAAGTCTCTCTTTCTTGTGCTGTTTTTTTTCTTGTTAGATTAGGTCAATACGAATAAGAGAAGTATGTTGAACTAGCACTAGTGGTAGACAAGACAGAGATAAGATTGTTTATATTTAACAAGATACACAGTCCACTCAGATCATGTTTCTGCCATCAGAGAGTCTTCCAGAAACTCTGAACAATCTTCAACAGTGGAGAAGAAACAAAGTCTTCCCACCAGTTTCCTGTTCTGAAAGAAACATCTGAACTCTTCATCATGGACAGCGAGACCAAACTCTTTAGAAACACATTTCTCAAGTCAACAACTAAAGAAACGATCCCTGAAAGTATAGTCTTGGTTTGTTGTGGCTGTTTCTCAGAGTCTTATCTCTGGAGACGAGAACTTTTACTGATGGTCGACTCCTGACACTCACTAAGACACTCCTACAATCAGTGACTAAAATAACCCTACAGTTTTACTTTATATTCTTCAATAAATGTTGTTGTGTTGATGTATACTCTTTATTGTTGGTTGTAAATTTACAGGAAAACTTTCCAGATAATGAGCTCCACAAAGACACTCCTTCTGCATTGAGCAACAACTTTTCATTTTAAAACCAAATGTACATTTCTCACTATTTGCAGGAGGAGTGTGTTAGAGAGTGTCAGGAGTCGACCATCAATAAGAGTTCTCGTCTCCAGACATAAGACTCTGAGAAACATCCAAAACAAACTCCGACTATACTTTCAGGGATCATTTCTTTAGTTGTTGATTTGAGAAATGTGTTTCTAATGAGTTTAGTCTCACTGTCCATGATGAAGAGTTCAGATGTTTCCTTCATTGCAGTAAACTTGTGGGAAGATTTTGTTTCTTCTCCACTGTTGAAGATTGTTCAGAGTTTCTGGAAGACTCTCTGATGGAGGAAACATGATCTGAGTGGACTATTAAACTTGTGAAGTGAAACTTGGACATTAATTTTCTGTTGGTTTGTTGAGTATTAACTGTGATTTTCACATTTTTGATAAAAAGTCCAATACTTTCTGTTTTTGTTGGTCCTTGTGAGCTTGAAAGTAGAAATGTGCTTTCTTCATGACCTTTGCAGCCACAGAGATTTTATTTTTAGGTTTGCAGTAGGAATTTTACATTTAACTAAACTTCTTGTTTAAGTGAATTAAAATGTAATATTTTTCTGAACACTGATGGGCAACTCCTGAGCTTCACAAAGTCACTTCTACAATCACTGACCACTTATGTTCTTAGTTTGACTTCAGTACACTGACAGAAACAAAATGACGATGATTTCTTGTAAATTTGAAACTCAATACAATATACATATATATCACAAAAAATCATTTTTAAGGGTGGGTCAAACTGAAAAAAAAATTTGATTGAAGAAGGATGATCTTAATAAATCTCAAAAGTTGATTGAGAAGTTCCTCCTTCTTGTGCTAGTTTTCTTTGTTAGAGTAGGTCAATATGCGTTAGAGAAGTATGTTGAACTCCTAGTCACGGCAGACAACACCAACACAAATTTTTGTATTTTTAACAAGATACACAGTCCACTCACATCATGTTTCCTCCATCAGAGAGTCTGTGAGAAACTCTGAACAATCTTCAACAATGGAGTAGAAAGAAAGTCATACCACCAGTTTCCTGCTCTGAAAGAAACATTTGAACTCTTCATCGTGGACAGCAAGACCAAACTCTTTAGAAACACATTTCTCTAAGTTTTCTCTAAGTCTAAGTGAGTGTCAGGAGACGACCATCAGTAAAAGTTTTCGTCTCCAGACATAAGATTCTGAGAAACATCCAGAACGAACTAAGACTATACTTTCAGGGATCATTTCTTTAGTTGTTGACTTGAGAAATGTGTTTTTAAAGCGTTCAGTCTTGCTGTTGATGAAGAGTTCAGATGTTTCTTTCAGAGCAGGAAACTGGTGAGATGACTTTCTTTCTTCTCCACTGTTGAAGATTGTTCAGAGTTTCTGGAAGACTCTCTGATGGAGGAAACATGATCTGAGTGGACTGTGTATCTTGTTAAAAATGAACAATCTTGTGTCTGTCTTGTGTGCCACTAGTGCTAGTTCAACATACTTCTCTTAAACATATTGACCTATTTTAACAAAACAAACCAGCACAAGAAAGAGTGATTTCTCAATAAATGTCTGAAATTCACTGAGATCCTCCTCCGTCATTCAAAATAGCTTTTAAGTTTGACCCACCCTTAAAAAAAGGTAATTTTGTGATATATATGTCTTATTGTATTGGGGATCAAACTCACAAGAAATCATCTGAGTTTTGTTTCTGTCAATGTACCGAGGTCAAACCAAGAACATAAGTTGTCAGTGGTTGTAGAAGAAGTGACTTTGTGAAGCTCAGGATCTCAGTGAATTTCAGGAGTTTATTGAGAAGTCTCTCTTTCTTGTGCTGTTTTTTGTTTTGTTAGAGTAGGTCAATATGCATAAGAGAAGTATGTTAAACTAGTACCAGTGGCAAATAAGACAGACACAAGATTGTTTGTCTTTAACAAGATACAAAGTCCACTCAGATCATGTTTCTGCCATCAGAGAGTCTTCCAGAAACTCTGAACAATCTTCAACAGTGGAGAAAAAACTAAATCATCCCACCACTTTCCTGCTCTGAAAGAAACATCTGAATTCTTCATCGTGGACAGCGAGCCCAAACTCTTTAGAAACACATTTCTCAAGTCAACAACTAAAGAAATGATTCCTGAAAGTATAGTCTTGGTTTGTTGTGGATGTTTCCCAGAATCTTATGTCTGGAGACGAGAACTTTTACTGATGGTCGACTCCTGACACTCACTAAGACACTCCTCTAAAGATCAGTGACAAACTCGCATTAACTTCTAAAAGTCCATTTGTAATTCACAGTAGAATTGTCTTTGTGGAGCTCATTATCTGTCTTTCCCTGTAAAATAAAAACCCAATAAAATATTGATGTAAAGCTTAAATGAACAGCATGTACTGCTGTAATTAAAGGTAAGATTAAAATGTTATTTCAGTCACTATTTGTAGGAGGAGTGTCTAAGTGAGTGTCAGGAGTCAACCATCAGTAAAAGTTCTCGTCTCCAGACATAAGACTCTGAGAAACATGCAGAACAAACCAAGACTATACTTTCAGGGATCATTTCTTTAGTTGTTGATTTGAGGAATGTGTTTCTAAAGAGTTTGGTCTTGTTGTCCACGATGAAGAGTTCAGATGTTTCCATCAGAGTAGAAAACTGGTGGTTTGGCTTTATTTGTTATTCACTGTTGATGATTGTTCAGAGTTTCTCAAAGACTCTCTAATGGAGGAAATGTGATCTGAGTGTAATTTTTACAACAGAAGCATTATATTAATATGTTTGATGTCAAAAATATGAGTTCTCAAACTCCTTACAGGAGTTCACAGTAATAAATGATATGACCATGTATTGTATAAAAAGATGGATGACATCACAGTCGAGATATTTAGTGCTATATTCACTAATTAGCAGCAGTTTATGTCTTTGACCCCACCTCCTCCATGTTAACAGGTGACATGAAATATATTTTCTTGTCAACTACCACATCAAGAAACTTCAGGAGAGACCTCAGGTACAAGCAGGCCTAATGTTGTGATCCTGCGTTGATGAAGATAAATGGTTAGTTTAGGAATCAGGATAGATACAATGATGAGGACACTGACAGCCCGGAGCCTTCTGAGGCCAACCGAGTTCAGGACAGGTTGTTTTTTTCTGATGACTTATTATTGTTTTCTTATAAACACGGCTGGTTTGTAAAAGTGAAAAAAAAACATGGCGGTCACAGAAGTTCTGCAACATGTCTCTGTGATGAAATCAGTGGTTTTGTTGAATTAAAGAAGTCAAAATCAACAGACTGACACAGGATTCCAGGAAGAAAAACCCCTAGTGATGAAATGTAACCAACATCCTAATTTCTAATTTCTATTGGATGCCTTTGTTTGTGTTGAAGATGTTTTAAAGATCTCCTCTGTGACCATTCAAGTATGAATTGATGGTGCTTCTGTTCACGGGAATATCAGTGTTTAATGTTGGGCAGAATTGTGTCACTTTCTGCAGAAATTCTTCTGACTGCACTTAAAATAACGTAACCATGAGAATGAGGAAGTAATAAGGAAAAAAATGCAGGAAAGGAAGTAATCATTCACCTAAAACAGAACAGGACGGTTTGGCTGCCTCCAGTGTTGACATGAAAACCTGGATAGTCATGAGAAAAGTCCAGTCTAAACACAGATAAGACAAAACATCTGCAGGGTGGTTCTCAAAGGAAAAGGCATGTTTTTC